AACACAACAAAACACAATACAATAGAACAAAACAAAACATTGAGGTAAAAATGAACAAAAACAGAAACACAAGATGAATAGGCAGACAAGTAGTGCAGTGGCAATATGATGGTAATAGTAATGATGATATGATGGTAATGTTATTGTTAGACAGAAACACAAGATGAATAGGCAGACAAGTAGTGCAGTGGCAATATGATGGTAATAGTAATGATGATATGATGGTAATGTTATTGTTAGACAGTATATAAGAATAGTAGTACAGTATATATATATATATATAGTATACAATATAACATAATATATATTTATATAGATAGTACTTATACCAATATAATAGCAGTATATAGTAATAATGGCAGCAACAGAAGCATAAGAAGATGCTGGCGACCTCAGTCTTCTTCAGCAGTTTCAGTTTTACAAATGATCTTTTCTGCTTGAGACTAAATGTGATCGAGGATCTTAGACAGAACTTTGTGGTCTTACACAGTAAAACTGACGGAGCTGAAAACTTGTTCTGCAGGACATTTCCAGCAGTTTTCTCATCGCCTCCTTTCTGTTACTTTTTTATGGTTCCAAGAAATAATTTGTCATTTTGAGAAATACGCTTATTTGCCTGGCACAGATCTCATGTCTCCTCCTGTTTGCAGTGGTTATGTGAAGCTAACTGGTTTCATTAGCTTCATATTTGCTGTACAGTTATATCGATCTTCATCTGACGGCCCCCTGATGAAAAAAAAAAACTGAAATTCACCAGATTCTGATTTTCATTAGGATCTGCACCAAATTGCATCCACACATAAATATCAGTCCCCAAAACATATCAACATTAATATCAATAAGATCCATGAAATAATATGTCATTGATAAATACAAAATGTTGAGACGAGCAAAATTAGATCGGTTAGAGATTCTAAATGTCGGTTTTACGATACATTTTCGGTTCATTGTCCAGCCTTAATTCAAGTTAAATAAAATAAGGTTTTCTACAATGTACATATACAAACAGATGAGCGTCTGTAGACTGACCTCTGCATCGTAGCGCACGGCAGCCGACAGCAGCGAGAAGGCATTTTCCACGGTGATCCCTCTCTTGATGATGTGTTGACAGAGACGCTTCAGGCGGTTCTCACAGTACGATGTCGCCAGATCCAGCAGCCCTGAGAGAGCACAGACAGAGAAATAAGAAACAACGGACGGCTAAATGCCAGGATGTGAGATTCAGCAGCGACACGTGTGTGTGTGTGTGAGTCTGACCGATAGCATCTTCAGGAGACAACTCCACGTTGTCCGTGTAGAGGAACTCCAGGAAGGAGCGGTACACCGGGTAGGAGAACTGGTCGATTTCAATCACCTCCTTCATGTCTTCGTTCCAATGGGACTGAAACATGGACCTGAAGTGTTCACACCTGCAGAATATGTGGTTTAATACAGATCTTTAAGTTCAAGCAATCTTATACTTTCATGATTTGATCCAACAGCTGTGAGATAAAAATCCAGACCTGATTTTGAGAACTGCTTTGTGGACGTAGATGTATTTGCCGTCGACGCAGAACTTGAGGTCGGCCGTCTCTGGGTTGTCAAATTCTTTCTTCAGACACTGAGCCACAGTCAGGAAGTCATCGTGCTCTGGAGCAGGAACACACACACACACACACACGCACATCAATGTCTGGCATTAGACAGATGAAAACGATGAATATGTCCGAATAACCGGTGCAGTGCTTTAGTTCCAGCATTTTCTTACCCATGGAGAGAAGCTTCCACATGACCGAGGGGGTGGCGAAGCATGCGAACACATCGTCAGTGCAGGTAAAGTGTGTGAGGTGAGGCAGCACTATAGACTGGCCCCTGCACTGGCCCCACATGAACACCTGACCACTCTGGGTCTTAGCAGCAGACGTGTGCGTGGAGTGACAGGCGGCGATCTCTACGATTCTGTCAGAGGAGAAGAGGAATCAGTCGATCGCAGCGTGTGAGACAGAAGAGATCAGAGGATCTATGGGCTTTTTTTTCTGCTGCGACGTCACGACCTCGCTCACCTCTCTTTCTCTGTCATGATCTGAACTGGACTCAGCTGGTTGCTCTTGTTGCCGGTGCCCAGTTGTCCGTATGTGTTGGCGCCCCACGCGTACAGCAACCCCTCATCGGTCAGTGCCAGGGAGTGGGCGTAGCCTGAGACAATCTGGAGGGAGGGGGGGG